TTTAAAAGAAAAAAAAATCAACACAGAATTAAGGAATTAAGGCCAATCTGTATAGCAAAATATTCTGTAATTGTAAAAAGAAAACACTCACTTTTCCTTTCTTAAATCAGGGTCTAATTTACATACAATTAAACCTACTCTTTTTTTCAGGGGACTGAGGCTTTAACTCAGGGGTGCTTTACCACACAGCCCTTTTCATTTTTTTCAGACAGGGTCTCACTAAGTTGCTTAGGGCCTCACTAAGTGGCTGGTGCTAGCCTTGAACTTGTAATCCTCCTGTCTCAGCCTCCTGAGCCACTGGGATTAGAGGCATGAGCCATCCAGTCAAACCCACTCTTTCTAACATACAGTCCCAATTCTGACCAAGTGCCCCAGCACATAACCACCACTGCAACCAAGATACACAGCTGTTCTGTCACCCAAAACTTCCCTTTGCTGCCCCTCTCTCATCACTCCACTCTGACTCCTGGCAAGCACTCACCTGTTGTCTGTCTTGGGGTCTCCACATCAGACCCTAGTAGTTGCTGCACAGCAGCAATAAAGAGTATAGCCGAGAGGTCTGACCTCTTAAATCTCAAGAAAGGCAGCTGAGATTCCCCATGCTTCTCTGACATGCCCACAGCCCAGTGTCATCTATGTAAAGGGGTCTCCTGCTTGGATGGGGAAGTCTCTGAGCACACGAATCTTACCAATATTTCACTCATTCAAAAGTAGACTTACACAAGGGTCAAAACTCTTTAGAATGTTATAGATCTGCTACTCATGATCCACAGGTTCCACATTCCCAGATTCAACCAACCATGAACCAAAATATCTGGAGGTAAAAACTGTTTAAATGTGTACGGAGTTTTTCTGTTGTCATTATTCCCTAAAAAATTTAGTATCAGAGTTACTCACATAATGTTAGCATTGTGTCAGAAATCAACAAGTGACCGAGAAGTGATAAATAGTACACAGAAAGATATGGGTAGGTTATTTGCAAATACCACTTCATCTGAAGAAGAGACTTACGCATCCTTGGATTAGGTGAATGCAGGGGACCTTGAACCAATGCCATAGGGATACCAAGGATCAACTGCATTTGTTGCTGTCATTAAACAAAAGACTTTACATACAAGCACAGCATTTCAACTCCTCTTGGGAACCCTGTAGGGCACACTCTGCTGTCCCAGTTTTCCAGCCCCAGGGGACAGACCAGGTGCTGACCTTGTAAACGTGCCGCCAGTTCTTGCCATGGTCATTGAGCCGCTTCCAGATCATGCTCATGATCTCGGAGAAGGCCACAACATTGTAGGTGAGGTCGGCAATCTCAGACATGAGAGAGCTGGACGGGCCCCAGGGATCATTGCTTGTGGCCTCACGGACCTTGATCTCCGCCTCCGAGTAGTTGTGGACAATGTTCTTCATCTGGCGCCTTAGGGACGAGGTCGACATGGTGTCCAGCGGTGGTGTCAGGGGCGTCAAGGGGCGTGGAGAGATGGGGCAACTCACAGAGGGAGGCTACAGCAGATGCTGGCAGACTGCTGCATCTGAAGGGGGAAAGGATCTTTAAAAACACAAACCAGGCACAGGCTAGCCAGAGCCCCCTCTCTCCAGCCTCTCTCTGAGGCTGCCTACTCCCCTCAGACAGGAACACAAGATCCTAACTGTGGCCTGCAAGGTTCTGTCCCTTGTTAACCTCTGTCTGAAAGTCACCCAAGCCATCTTTCAGTTCCTCAAATGTGCCCAGCTCTTTCCTGCTTAGGTCCCTGCTCAGTGAGGCAGAATATACAGCAGGTCACAGGCACAGAAGTCATACTTCCCTGGGGCCACACCCCACCTCAGCCCCTTCTTAGCCAGGCTAACCTGAGCAGGCCTCAAACTCCTGCCCTCTCTAAAACGGAGATCTGTGTGGCAGTCCAGAGAAAGGAGAGGACCTGGTGAACAGAAGACCTCTGTAAAGACTGGACAGGCATGTCACGAGACTATCACCCTGCCCTCATGCTCTCCTCCTTCACCAGACTCCCACCCTACATCTGCACCTGAACATCACGATCACGGTTTCCCAGGGCCTCCCAGCAGACTCTGTAGCCCTCATGATGTTGAGTTCATTCATATGATTCTGTGGCTGAGGTCAACCCACAAGCCCCACAGGGCAGAAACCACATACATGGGTTTGGACATGGCTTTTCCTACAAACTCTGAAAATCATACAATAAATGGTGCAGGAAGGAAATGAAGAAAAGAGGGCAGGGAAGATTTCTGGATCTGGATAGAAGAAGCAGAGAATCCAGGGCAGAACAAGGACACAAGGGAGAGGACGCTGGTGAGGGACTGAGGAGTTGGTAGGGAGACCAGAGTCACTCCAAGGCAGCAAGAAGTGGGGGATGCCTGGAAACCAGGCGTCCCTCCCAAGGGCTGGGAGGAAAACTCAAGGAAGGAGATATAAGGGATATAAGAGCCCCACTGATGGGCCCCAGCCATGTGTCAGGCCTCACTAAGCATAAGGCATACATTATCTCATCTAACACTGCATTAGACACGCGCTCTGGAAGTTAAACAACTTGGCCACCGCCTTATCAGAAATGGCAAGGCAGGCTCAACCAAGGCCACCTGAGCTCTAAAACTTACACTTTTAAATTAACCTAAATTAAATGAACCTGTTGAGACCAACTGATGAGACCTAGACAGAAGGCAGAAATCAAGCTCATGAGAATAGTACCAGCAAGCATTTGCACAGCTCTCCTCATGATAGGCACCTTCTAAGTGCTTCACACACATTAACTCAACTAATCCTTACATCTCCGTGCAACCCAGCCACCTCACATGGGAGGAAACAAAGAGTGGCTAACTCCCTTGCCTAGGACACACCTCACACCTAAAGGAGCCTGGGTCCAGAAGAGGCTCTGACCACCAGTCTATGCCTCTCCAACAAACCATGGAGATTTACTGAACCCTACCATGACCTAAACCCAGGGGACACACTGGTGAATAAGAGTGGCTGCCTTGAACTCAGGCAGAGAACCTTGCTCACAACTAAGTGGAAAAGGCAGCCAGAGTCCCAAGATAAGCCCTGCCAGGGACATGAAGATGAAGAGATACTGTGACAAATACAGACAGAGAAAAGGAATGACAAGGATACTGGGAGAGAAATCATGGAGAAACTTGGGCAGAGGGGGCTGCCCTGAGGCATGTTGAGACAAAGACACAAGGATCATGCAAAAATATGAGAGGAGAGCAGGGCAGGGAGAAAAGACAGGCTGGAAACAAAAGAAAGGCTTGGGACTGAGAAACAAGAGAAAAAAAAATAGGATATAATGGGAAAACAAACAAAATTGAGGTTCAAATTCTGAAGCAACCAGCAAAGCAAGCCTCCTTGAGATTTAGTATGTTCAATTCTGAAATGAAAGAATTCCTACCTGGCATGGTTGTTGATTAAGTAAGATGGGTACACAAAGTGCTTGGCTCTGTGCCCCACAGATAGTAGTCGCTCAATAACATCGTCTGCAATCATTATCAGAGGAACACAGAACATTTCCAAAGGGTGGCATCCCAAGATAGGCTATCTTAATGCCATGTACTTACTTCAACACTCTAAGAAAACACACCTCTCGAGTCAAAGATCAATAGACACCCTTAGAATGAAGCTGTTTTTCAAATCAAACTGATACAAAGGGAACTACTGAATTAAGCTGAATACAACTGCTATATCAGACAAACTTCGACAAGGGAACTCAAATGACCAATATAAAACATTTAGTGAGACAAAAATTTCCAATTAAAAAATAAATAAACAGAGCTCCCAGCTAATCACACTGTTCCAGACACACTGGGCACTTTTCAATACCACCTCAATGGAGAGGGGCAGACCCCTGCGTGTACCAATCACACACATTTAAGACTAGGAAACTAAGGTCTGGAGAGCGAAGTCGCCTGCCGGGTATCACACGAGCACCAGGACCAGAGCGGGCGCTCTTCACACACCGAGCCCCGGCACCCCGAAAGGCGCAGGTCCCAGACCCAGCAGGAGCGCGCCGGAAGGACGTGCAGGAGACCGGCGAAGGGGACGGGAGCGGGGGAGGCTCGGGAGAGAAAACAGAACCCGGGAAGACCAGCACAGGAGCCTGACAGACAGACAGACACACACACACAGGCACTCCAGCTCCAGACGAGAGCGCAACCCAGGCAGAGGGGCAGCGGAGACGGGGACGCTGACAGCCGGCCCGAGAGAGGCACAGACAGCGGACAGATGAGCCCGTCCGGACGCGGAGGCACAAAGGCCGCCACGGACGACGGCGGACGAAACCCAGAGGAACCGGAGAGAGCAGAGGCCCGGCCGGAGCCCGTGCGCCGCGGCCGAGGCCCGAGCGCCCGGCAAGGGGCGGGCAGAGAGCGGACTGGCGGCCCCAGGTACCCGGCCCGCGCTCACCTTGGCCCCTCACGCGGGGCTCCGGGGGGTCATGGCGGTCAGCCCCCTGCCCCCGCTCGGCCTCGGTGTCGCGGGGCGCGCGCCGGCTGCGGGCGGCGGAGGCTCGCAGCGGCGTACACGCGGACGCACGGAGAGCCGCACGCCGACGGCCCCGCCGCCCCGGCGCCCGGGAGGGGCGCGGAGAGCCGGGCGGGGGAGGGGAGCCGCCGAGCGGACGGGAAGCAACCGAAGGAGCCGACGGACCGGAAGCGGAAGTGATCACGCGCCCCGCCCTCTGCGCTACTCCCGGCTCCGGCAGCCCCCGCTTCCGCGACCAAAGCCTGCTCGGGCAGCATCATTTCCGGCACACGAACCCTCCAGGTTAGGAGTTCTTGCGCCACTTCCGCCCGTCACCGCCCCCTCCGCAAGGCCCCGCCAGGTCCTGGACCTGGCCACCACGCGCCCGAACCCCCTGGCGAGGTAGGAGCCCACGTAGGACCCCTACACCCTCCCACCCAGCCCGGGTATCGGGAGAGAGACCCTCCCAAGGGCGGAATCCCCAGCCCGCACCCGCCGCGCAGGGCCGAAACACAGTGGACACAGATTAGCTCCATAAAGTAAAATACAACAAAATGTTTAATGAGCAAATTCGTCTTAGCAAATATGAAACTGCCACAGAGAGGAGGAGAGGGACAGGGGCCACGGGACTAGGGTGGGAGCGAGTCAGGGAAGGCCATAGAGAACCAACTACTTCAGAAACCAGGGAAACCAGGGCGGGGACCAGGAAGGACCAGAGGACGGGAGCTGTGGTCCTGCAAAGGGAAGAGGGCAGGGCACGGAGGGCCGGACAACAAAATTCAAAATAGTTTGGCCATAAAATATAAACACGCTATGTTCCTACCATGGGGAAGGGGAGGAGAAAAGGGGTATAAGGGAGGAAAGACTGTATTGGGAGGGGCCGTGGGGGTCCTACCCGCCCTGCTGTGCGCCCGTCCCCATCCCAACCCCTTCCCTCTGTGTCTGTGTGGGTGCGTGTCTGTGTGGGCCTGTGTGTACTTCCCCAGTCCCTTCCCTGCCCTAACCTCCCAACCCCCCACCCCCCACCCTTAATTGCTGCCATTCCAGTTGCTGCCGGCTGTCAGGCTGTCATTCGGCTGTCACTCCTCTGCCCATCATCTTCAGAGGGGGGAAAGGGGGGGACAGGCGGGGAGAGAAGCCTCCAGCCAGCCCTGCCCCCACCCTCCCCAGGCCACCTCTACCAGAAGTCCCGGCGGTGGTAAGAGTCGGGGTCACAATATTTTGTGACAACCACTCTGTTGGCGAATTTGCGACCTGTCAGGCCCTGCATGGCTTTCTGGCAGTCAAACACAGAGGTGAACTCCACAAAGATCTGTGGGGAACAAGAGGCAGGTCTGTGAACAAGGCTGGCCTCCCAGGAACCTACCAACATCCATCCAAGCCCATGATTGATACAGGCAGAAGGGAAAGAAAAAGGGCCTCTTCACAGCTTTCTGAAAAATTACACCTATAGGTGCAGTTTCATAAAACAAGGGAACACAGATCAGATACTTCACAGGCATGGAAAGAACAGAGGCATGCCTGAGAGTCACCTGAATCACGCAGGGCAGCTGGGAAGGTAAGCAAATGCCCAGAGAAGTCACTAATTCTGTCTACTCTGCACCAGCCAACTTGTGGAGAGCATCCAGAGCCACCGAGGGCCATGCTTTTTTCCCCAGATAAGGGATGAAGTAAGGGAAGCCACAAGTTAGAATTCAAATCCAGGATGATAAAAACTTGAATTTACTCAAACTTCCAATTGTGTTTCAACAACCAGTTTAGAGGAAATGGAGCATATAAAGAGCCTAAACTCTATACAACCAATGACCCTATTTCTTCAACACATAAAACAGCTTGACTTCAAAAGTGAGAGATATGAAGATAAAACTGATGAGAAACTTGGTAAGAGGGGATCTTGATTGAATCCTTAATTCAAAAAACATTTTTTAGACAGTAATAAATTTGAACATAGGTAGATACCAAGAAATGAATGTTTACTTTGTTATTGTAATGAGTGTATTATGATTTTGTTAATCCCACCCCCACCCCATACTGGAGCCTGAACCCAGATCTACCTACGACTGAGCTACCCAGGCTGGACTCAAACTTGTGATCCTACTGCCTCAGCCTCACAAGTAGCTAGGATTATAAGCATGTACCACACCAAACTAAAAAAAACATTTTAAGGTTATTTGGTTAGAGCATCGGTTCTCAATTAGGAGGAGACATGTCCCCAGGACATACTGAGCAATCTTCAGATGTAGGAGTTGTCACAAAAAGGGAAGTAGCACTGCTGGCCATCTAGTAGGTACAGGCTGGGGATGTAGCTAAGCGCCTAGGATGCACAAAACACCCAAAGCAGAGGTAACTAGCCCAATATTGGCTGAGAAAAAGTTATTATCTCAGGCAAAAGACATCTAAACTATGTTTGAAATATTCAAACAAAACTGGGGCAAGAGGGATAAACTGAATGAAGAAAATGGCAAAAACTGGAAACCTGAAGACAGGTGGTGAAACAATATGATGATACTACATGTACTGTATATACTATCATATAAATAATACACCTCTACTGATCCCCTATTTACCAAAAGAAAAGATCCATAATATGAAGTTAGTATCATGAAGTTTGAGAACAGAAACAGTAAATAAAAACTGGTCAACTGATCCTAAAGGCCAAGGTCTCTTTATTCTTCCCACAAATATTTACTCGGCCCTTTTGTGCCAGGCTTCCACTGCAGTGCCAGACTGAACCAAATTGACCAACTGGCTTATCAAGGATTCCTGGAGAGGGGAGAGGCTGCCGCTGGCCCTCCTCACCTAGTCCCAGTTTCCATGAGCCCTCAATTGGAATACACATCTGTCCAGCTAACTGCTTCCTACCCATCTCTAGTGGGGTGTCAGAAACCTCAAGGCTAGCTGTCCCAACACTGGCTGCTGAACCCTTACATACCAGCTCATCAACCTTCCTTCTCACCTGCCACTCCTAGCATCTCCTGGACCTCCTCCTTCCCTGTCCCAACATACCCAAACCAATCACCAAGGACTGGAAATTTAAAGGCTTAACTCTCTCTCAAATCCATCAATTTGCAGGTGTAATGGCTCAACCTGTTAATCCCAGCAGCTCTGAAGGCTGAGACCCTAAGCAACTCAGACCCTGTCTCTATATAAAATACAAAAAAAGGGCTGGTGATGTAGCTCAGTGTTTAAGTGCCCCTGAGCTCTACCCAGTACCCCCTACACAAAAAATTTAACTCAAACCCATCAGCTTCCCTCCACCCCCTGCAACTAGTCGGTCATAGGCTACTTAAGACTACACAGGTTACACCAAATGGGTCATGGACCATTTCACTACTGTGGCAAACTGTGTTGGCTACCCTATCAGCAAATAATATCACGGCAATAGAATCTTAACAGAACCATGGCTTTTTATGCACTCTTGTCACAGAAGGAAGTCACTGCATAGTACATGACTACACCAGAACAGGCAATATCTTTCACACAGATTACTGCAGGAAACTCTTCCTCCATCACCCTACTCTTGTTGGATCCTCTCTACTTCACTTTCCAAACTTCAGTAGACATCACCAAAAACATGAACATTGCCTCTCTTCTTAAAAACCCACCACGCCCAGGAAAATCCCAAGCTTTTTCCACAATTTCATGAGTTGTCCCTGACAGTGCTGTAAAGCCAGACTCCTGACAATTGTAGTTCTTGCTCACTGCGACCTCAATGAACCTCAGTGAATCCCAAGGATTCCGCCACACTTCTATCCTGCAGGGCAGGGCTTAGTACCCGTTATAACAGTCATCTCTACCTGCCAGGCTCCCAGCAGCTACCTTCCCATTTCACTCAAAACCACACCCCAGGGTCTACCAGGATCCACCTGGCCACCTGCTCTTTGAGCTCATCTCTCACTGCTCTCCTTGGCTACACTGGCCTCCTCACTGTCCCCAAACACGTCCAGTCGTCTCTCTGCTTGCTGTGCATTCTACCTACTGTGAGGGTACTGAACCTCACTGTTGTCTTCTTAATGCCACCTCTGGATCTCAATGACCCCTTCTACAAAGGGCATCTGGGCCACCCCATTTCCCACCCAACATGGCATACATTCCCTGGACTTCAGGTACTTGAGGGCAGGAGTTGTTCTGCTTAGACGAGTATTTGGCATAAGAATTCCACCGACATACTGAATACATCAGTGAGTACAGTGACCTGGGGCACAGAGCAGGGGTGATATGACTATGGGCTCTTAAGTCCGACTGCAGGGACCTGGTTGTGTGGCATGTCACCTCTGTGCTTTGTCCCCTCCCATGAGAGTGCCCTAGTCTCAGAGCATCTGGCACACCAGAGGCAAAGCATAATCGGGAGCTGGAATACCCTCACAGCCTTTCTCTCCACCTCACAGACAAGGCAAAACACAGCCCCGAACAAGGGAGATACAGAGCCAGGCTCCAGACCAAAGGTGCTTCCACAGAGCCCAAGTTCTCGGCCCCAATAGTTCATCTCCATCAGAGGGCCCTGATCCTCTGGGTCACCAGCATCTCCCCTGGCCAGGTCCAGAAGGACACTCGGTAAGGGTGCAGGGGAGGGAGGGCATAAGCTGAGCCAGGATGCTCTGACCTTTCCGCAGCCAGGCACCTCGACGCCATCCACAGGCCGGGGGATCTCGATGGATTTGACAAGCCCGTACTTGCTGCACTCATCCCGCACATCCTCCACAATCTCCTCGTACTCCTCATCATCCAGCAGCTCCTCTGGCAGCACCATGTTCATGAGGCATAGGACCTCAGTAGGGTGGCCACCCATCTGTACCTGTGAGCTCATCAGGCCCGGCACCTGCAGCGTCACTGGTGTCTGATTGATGGTGCTCTGTGGGAGGAGGGGCAGGCGAGGTGTCACAGGGGATTCAGACCAGCCTCCCTCCACTCAAGGCCATGACCTTCAGAAACCAACTCAGAGGAAGGACATTCCTCCGCCTGAACATATATATGCCTTACTCCCCAATACTGCTTCTGATGATCCCCCAAATCCCCTCCCGCTAAAGCTGGGCAGAGCTAAAGAGAACCTGTCCCCTACCAGCCCCTCCCACCCCCAGGGTCCCTCTAGCCAATGAAGATGACGTGCCGGGGGGCTCACCAGCGTGGCGTTCTTGGCTCCTACGCTTGCCCTTTGGACAAGCAGCTTTTTATCCCCCAGCTGCATCCCATTCAGCCCAGCAATGGCCTGCAGTCAGAAGGTGAGGGGTGGGAAGGTGCAGGAGATATGTGGGTTAGGGCCCAGGAGCCCAGCACCTCCCCCACAAACCGGGGCATTGGTAGGCAGAGGGGAAAGCAAAGGGGGTTGAGTTTGGAAGGAACCAAAAATCAAAGGAAAGTCGGAGAGTCCCATTCAGGACCCTAAGCTCCCACCCTATGCCCTGAGGAGGAGAGACCTCAGCTTGGAAACTGAGCAGGGCTGGGAAAGACAGAAGAAGCCAAACAGCTGCCAGGGCTCACCTGATCCGTGACGTTGATGTCCACGTACTCACAGAAGGCATAGCCCTTGGAGAGCCCTGTGGCACTGTCCTTGACCAGGTTGAAGGCCTTAAGAGGCCCAAACGATGTCAGTAGCTCTTTGACCTGCAGCAGGTCAAGAATCCATCAGGGCTCAAGTCAGGCCAGGAAGGGGGAAGAGGAGAGGGAAGGAAGCAAGGGGTTTACCTGGTCATCATTCAGGTAGTTAGGTAAGCCCCCGATGAATAGCTTGTGGGCAGAGTCAGGGACCACAGTGGACACAACTCCTAAGGAGAGAAAAGGATTTCAATTGCAGTAGGAAGTCATCTCCCAGATGACAAGATGAGCCCTTCAGAGGCTTCACTCTGATAAAGGTGGAAGTATCACTCTCATCTACACCCCAGCCTGAGAAGAACACAAGCAAGGAAGAACAGCACTCCCCATGTAGGAACACAGGGTGTCTCCCAAACTGGTCCAGTCTCAGAGGAACCTCAAGCTAGCAGCATCCCGCCCCCCACCCTCGAACAGCCTCCTGGCACCTAGACCCACATGCTGGCACACACATGCTGCTGTGTGACACCGAAAAGTCACCTTAACTCTGGACATACTGCTGGGACACACACCAAACCCCTCCTTCACTCCTCAGGTCCCAACTGACAACTGCCCAGGAACATCTTCCCCATTACATCATTCAATCCTTTTGTTTTCAGGGACCTATCCTCAGAAGAGTGGGTTGTCTCTGGGCCCCAGTTCATCTGTGACACCACAGAGGTAGCCTGCTCTCAGGCTGCTCAAGTAATCTGTGTCAGCTATTCCAACCTCAGTGGAAACTGCTGACTCAAGATGGGGTGCTATATTCAGGGTCCATTAGGATTGAAATGTCACAGCCCATGGTCACACGAGCTAAGTGAATTCGACAGCCCTCAGTCCTGCCCTGAACTCTGGACTCAGACAAGTGTTTGACCGATGTTTCAATATGACTTCCAACACACTTGGCCAATTTTATCACTCCATTCTTGGAACTACCCTGTCAGACAAGAGCTATAAGACTCCAGCAGCCATCTACTCTTACTGCCCAGTTCAAAGCCTGGCCACATAGTCTCCCATTCCTTAGCAGTCCCCCCACACCAACTACTATGGCCCATCCCACCTCCATCCTGATCTTTTTTTTTTTTTTTTAAATATTTATTTATTTATTGGCAGACACAACATCTTTGTTGGTATGTGGTGCTGAGGATCGAACCTGGGCCGCACGCAGGCCAGACGAGCGTGCTACCTCTTCAGCAACATCCCCATCCCTCCATCCTGATCTTAAGGAACATCAGGAAAGGCAGAAAATGGAGAAAGGCCCCATAACTTGAGCCCCTGGGCCCCACCTACCCTCTGGGCTAATGTACCCTTTCTTTCTCTCCCTGCCCCTCCAGCACCCACAGAATTGTAGGCACCAACCCAGCTGGCTCTGTCCCCTAGAGCTGGGCCCCAGCAGATTGAGGGAGACCACAGGGAACCCAGCTTGGATGTCACTATGACAAGCAGAAACATCCTGGAAGCAACAACACATTTAAATGCTGGCCACAAGCCAGGCATGGCCCAATCTCTTTCAATCTTAGTTCAATGTGTGCAAAAGCCCCGGCTACAATACAAAAATGAGTAAACTGAGTATGGGGCAAAGCCACAAAGGCAAGAAAAGGGTGGCCTCCATGTCTGTCCACCGGCCATTTTTTGGCCACACACACTCAGATGCAGCCCCCTGCAGTTTTTTCTGATATGTTCTCCTTTCTGCCAATTTTCCCATCCTTTCCCCCACATCCCTCCCATGGCCGCTGTTCTTTTATTTTTGATTGCCCTGACCTCCCCCCACCTTCCCCACCGCTCCTCTCCCCTGCCCAGGGGAGTTTGGCAGGTGATCAACAAAGAGGGTCATGTGTCCCCAGGCTCCAAATCCAAGCTTAACGACTGTGCTGCACCTCAGGGAGACAGCAGTGAGGACAGGAGAGCTGGGCTCCCTGGGGTCCAGCGGTAGTTGCTAAGGGCCCAGTATCTTCAACTACAGAACGGGAGGACGCCAATGCACACAGACAAGCAGAATTGATGCTACTGCCAAAGGTGAGCTTAACCCTGGGTGAGCTGGGGCCCACTGAGGGAAGCTTCGCCTGGGATGGACCATCTTGCACAGCACCCCTTCAGGTGATATCAAATACCCCTTCATCAAGGTGAGAAAGTTGTCTTCCAGTTTCCAACCTGTCTAATCAAGAGATCTGTTCATTTTATCAAACACTTTCTCTTCTTTAATGTCTTTATAGATTAATGTCCTTCTCTGCAGCACTAAAAGGGGAGATCAAAATACAAGCTGTATCAGAAGGAAAGCTACACTGGAAAATACTTTGCCTATAGGCAGAATCACATTTCCTAACTCATCAGTCCAACCACAGGTAAGAACTGGACACACAGGCCCCCCAAGGTGCACATCCCAGACAGACTAACGAGTGATCTCCCCAGTGTATATAGTAATGGCCACTTCTGGAAAAGCCTGCCACAAAGGAAGCATAATCAAAAGCAACTGTCCCCCCCGCACACCTCTGCTTTCAGAAGAAGAGTAACAAGTATGTAGGAGGCAGTGCATAGAATGGCTGTTCATGGATCCCAGGGTCAAGCTGAGAGAGGGAGACACAGAGAGTAAGTAGTAGCCCAAGACACTGGTTTCAGGACATTTGGCAGATTATCAATCACCCCTTGCCTCACTTCTGTCCTATGTAAAATGAGAGTCACATCTAATATAGAAGGAGTCAGCGAACTTTCAGAGTAAATAGCCATGCAAAAGGTATTTTTGATTTTGTAGTCCATTCAGCCTGTGCAACAATTATTCAGCTTGGCTACTACCAGCACATAAGCAATGCGCAACAAGACTCTGTGCCCAGGGCTGGGGATGTGGCTCAAGCGGTAGCGCGCTCGCCTGGCATGCGTGCGGCCCGGGTTCGATCCTCAGCACCACATACCAACAAAGATGTTGTGTCCGCCGAGAACTAAAAAATAAATATTAAAAATTCTCTCTCTCTCTCCTCTGTCACTCTCTCTTTAAAAAAAAAAAGACTCTGTGCCCATAAGTCTTCATCTATAGAAACAGGGAGTGACCAGATGTGTCCCTCAAGTCTAAACTGGTGACACTATACCGGACTGTTGTGAAGGTTTCAAGAAGAGCTGGACAGTGCATTTGTGCCAGTACCTGGCACACAGCAAGCACCAGCAGTTGGCGGGCTATTTACATAAGTAGAAATGAACTTAAGCACACTGAGTTCACTGGTGGAGGCCCAAGGGAGATGCTCTGTAGCTGTCTGGGAGAAGTACCCACACACAGTCACCAGGTAGTGCGCTTAGGTAGAACTGTTTCTACAGTTGAGGATCAGCCAGCAGAACCCTACATTCTCAACATTCCAACATGCCTGAGACAGGCACCTCACTCACTGAGTTCCAGCAGCACTGGCCCCTCCCAGGATCAGAGTGTTTTCATATCCCAATGGGCCTCAAACAAGCTTCAATCCTCATTGATACCTACTGTCAATACAAGATGAGAGTGGCCCAAGGCCTCTACCTCCAAAGCCCATAAACTTTCTAAAAAACTTCAGTGTGCCTACCTCAACAATCACGGATGTTAGGGTGCAATGGAACACAGGCACCCAATCACTTGGGTCCCACACACAAATATTTGCCAAGCCCTGGTTGTCTTTACCCATCAGAAGTGAGACCAAGCACAACAAGGTAAAAAATCCACAGCACAGATTCAAAGCAGAGAGTAGAAAACAATAAATGAGTGAATACTGAGGTGTTGGACCCCACATGAGGAGCTTTACCGAGGTCTTCTGATGTGCACCACAGTGACGCACACGAGCACTCAAGACCCTACAGTCAAGAGACCCTGGGGCAGAGACAAGTCAAGGAACAGATTATAAGCCCTGTGCTTCCCAGAGCACCTCTGGTTTGGTCCTGACCTGCCACTTACAAGCTGTGTGTCTGCAAGGAGTTCACAGCTCACAATCTGGGACCCAGAGACCACACTTGCCATGCTGCACATCCAAAGCAGCACACTACTTCCTGAGTAGCTCTAGCTACTCAGTGACAGGAAGGGTGGGCACAAAAACTGGGCTCCTCACTTACCAGGCACATAGACAGACGGATTCTCCGACATGCCAGGCAGTGGCTGGTAGTCATGAGGCCTACGGATCTTCAGTGACTGTCCCTGGAAGATGATGCCATCAAAGGCCATGGCCTGGGTAGTCTCATCCACTGAGCGGAACTGAAGGGAAGAGAAGAGGTGGTAAGGGGCAGGGGTCAAGGACTAGACCAGGCCTCAGCCCCCAAGGCTCTGTGATAGGCTATGATTTTCTTTCTTTTCACTCATATGAGCAGACACCACTGTGCCGGCCCTGTGCTGGACAACAGAATATCCCTGGTCCTAGAGGCTCTCTCCCCCAAGTGCAGTCACCAACACCCAACACACAGCTGCGAGTCTGATGTGAGTGAAGGGGAACAGAGTGTTGAGAGGACAGAGTGGGGATGTTAAATACATAAGGAAGTAAAGGTACTGCAGGCTGTTAAGTAGCACTTAAGCTAAAACCTGGAACTGTGGAGTTCAAAATGAACTGCAGCGAGGCCAATGTGAGTCAGAGGCAGCACCCAGAAGCTTTCCCAGCAACCTGGTGTTGCTGCAATGCCTGGTTTTTGTAAGAACACTGGCCCACCCAATATCAAAATTTAAAAACCAAGGTCCTCTACCAGACAGGTTGAGAAACAATGACAGAGAAAAGTGGTTAGAAACACGGTTAGCCAGGCAAGATGAACCACTTCAGCCTAGGCCCTGGTGGGGGCCTGGTAGGTCCTGGAAAAGGTCAGTATGGCCAGAGCAAAGTACGGCATCAAACTGGTCTGGAAGAGGTCTGCAGGCCTCCCAGGCCACATAGAGAACAAGGTCAGGCAGAAAGGAGGATGGGATTTGCCAGGTTTTTTAGCTCACTCTCGCAACCAGAAGAGACAGCAGAGGGCCAGTGGTAATGGGCAGCACAGGGAAGCACAACATGCCAAGGGACCACACATTCCCCTCCCACCCCATCACTTGCCCAGCTCACCTCCAAAAAGGCAAAATTCTTGTCTTGGTTAATCTGCACAGCCAAGACCGGGTTGCCAGGGGCCTGGGTTAGCCCCCCCAGGCGCATCTGGGCGTTGAAGAAATCCATCATGGCCTCCTGCAGAGGGAATAGGAGACAGGGAGGGGCGGGGAGGGAGGTGGAGAGAGGAGGGGAAGGGTGAGAGAGGGAGACACAGAGGGGTTTGGGGTAAGGGGAGAGGGACAAGGGAAGGGAGAAGGGGAAGGGAGGGAATGGTGGAATATGGGTGGGGTGTAGAGGTCAATAGTAGGAACAAAAGCAGGAGAAAAATGAGAAAATAAAGAAAAAGAAGTAGCAAAAGGCAGTGAAGGACAAGAGATGAAACAAACAGGGCAGTCAGGACAGGTTCAGGGGGAGAGCCCCAGGGGGCCCCCCCAAACAAATCAAGAAAAAGGAAAATCATTCAAGTAAAAAAAAATGACAACAACAAGGAAAGGAAGAGAAAACAAACCGAAGGCAAGAAGAAGACAAGGAGGAACGCAGTGCAGACGAAATGACAAGGACGGCCAGAGAGCGGCAAGCAGGAAGGAGAGAGACCAGCACAGAGCAGGGAGGCGGAGTGCAGGGTGGGAGGGGGGCGGGAGGGGAGGAGAAAAGAGTGATGTGGAGGGACCTGGCCCTGGAGTCCGGGGGCTGGTTTATCAAATGTAGCAAAGTGCAGGTTGAGAAAGTCAGAATGGACCTTACTTGCCTTCGACGATGGTAGCAAACTTTTTGTTGCTACGAGGGATCTCAGCCCCACAATATTTCACTTTAAAGAGAAATGGAAACAACTCTTTGATCTCGGGATTCTCAGGGGGTGCCACGGGAAGGGGTGGGGGAGAGGGGCAGGGGAGAGGAGCGGTGGGGAAGGTGGGGGTAGGTCAGGGCAATCAAAAATAAAAGAACAGCGACCATGGGAGGGATGTGGGGGAAAGGATGGGATAGATGGCAGAAAGGAGAACGTGTCAGAAAAAACTGCAGGGGGCGTGCGTCTGAGTGTGTGTCCGAGTGTGTCCGAGTGTGTGTGTCCGAGTCTCCCTCTCTGTCTCTCTCCGAGGTACGAGGTATGATATATAGGTTCATAGTGTGTGTGCACGTGATCCCTGGGTTGCTGAAGGAGGTTGGGGGGAAGGGAGAGGGGAGAGGGGAAGAGGGAGGGAGGGAGGGGCCACCCCCAGCCCGGCCCCTGGCTGGCTCAACTCCATCGGTCCGTCTGGGAGGGGGCCGGGGGGTCTTGCAGGAACAGAGTCTGACCCGTGCAGGGTGTGGGGAGGGAATGGAGGGGAGGGGAGGAACAGGGTGGGGGAACAGGGGAGAGGATGGGGCAGGGGAGGGCAGTACCTCAGTGATGCCAAAAGGGATGTTGCCCACGTAGAGGCGCCGGGCTTGTCTGGTCATCTGGCTCCCAACCACAGGCACTGGCGTTGGGGTCACAGCCAGACCATCAGGGGTCATGGTGGGGAGAAGGGCGGTAGCTGGAATCTGACCCGCAGCTTCAAGAGAGGGGTGGAAACAAAGTAAAATTACATTAAGGCAACCTCCAACCTGAGCTCTGGGACCACCCAGCACTCTTAAACTCCCCCACCCCCAGGGTTTCCATTACCAGACCCCAAAACCAATAATGGATGCTCCTTAGAAGCCATGTTTTCTAACAGCACCAGGGTGGAAGCCTCAACCCAACTCCGCTACAGGTACCTCAGATCATCTCCTCCTCCAGCAGAAGCCAGAAGCCCAGGGATGTGACCCTTCATCTGGTTTAACTCAACCCCCCAAAACACACACAGAAAGACAAATGGAGACAATTGCCCCTCACCTCCATGCTTCACCCTCCAGAGCAGACCACCCAGGGGTCCTACCTTGCATGGCCTTGTACTGCATTGGGGTGATGTGCTCAAAGCCAGGTGGTGGCACGTCCCAGTATTTACGAACCTTCTTCTTCTTCTCATGGCGGGGGGAACGACTGAGGGAGGGGAAGGGAGAGCGGGGCAGGGCAACCTCAGTCTGACCAAGAGTGGGCCTGCAGGCCCCACCCAGGAACCCCTCCCAGGCTCCCCCTCAATTTCCCACCACACAGGCTCAGCTCTCTCCAGGAGGGAGAGGATCTGGGTCAGGGCAGGGCCTGGGACTGGGGAGGGGCGCTGGTTTCAAGGCAGGCAGACTCTTCCCCAATGCTTGGGCCAGGGTGGACACAGGCCAGGCAGGGTGCACAAGACATGAGGAAGGTAAAGGGAGTGGACTTCAGGGTGGAAGGGGCAGGAAGAGAAGCTCACATCAATCCACCGTGCTCCTCTTTAGCGCCTCTGGTCAAAGGTTTGCTGGGGGTGGGAGGGAAAGGTATGGGGAGGGGTGACTGGGGACCCTCGTCTTCCCCACGTGCCACACCCCCCAAGAGCACCAAGCCCCAGGGCTGGGGCAGGGCCGAGGTGAAGAGTCGAAACCAGGCCCCCCTCGGCCCTGCCAGTCCACCTTCCCCAAGACACTCCCACTCCCAGGAAAGAGGAAGTAAGGGGAGAAAGGGGCCAAGGAAAACCACACTATGAAGATACTGAGATGGGAAGGCAGAAGAACCTCCACATACCCCACTCTCTCTCATCTAATAGAGGCAAAGAACAAAGAGGACACCTGAGAGAAGAGCCCTTCAAATATAACTGACAGCCCTGAGCTTGAAATTAAGCCCAGGCTATGAGTACTGTCCCACTCCAAGAACACCCTTATTCCTGGGAGACAAAGAAACAGATACCAACCCTTTTGAAGACAGTCCCCAAAAGAAAAGGAAGAATAGGAAAGAACAATTTAGTCCCTCAGCATCAGGGACAGAGAGCAGCCTTTCAGAAACAGGGATCCCCATCTCCAAACAAACCACTGCACCCCCAATAATCCATTAATATCCCCAACACAGAACACAGAAATAAACCTGAGAAGTGAGGAGAAAACTGAATTCAAAACAAACCAAGCAGCAGACAACTCCCCCAAGGCATAACAAAATGACCCAGACACACCCCTGATCAGGTCACAGCCTGGGGCTGCAAACACCCCCACTCCCAAGCAGGCCCAGCCAGGGGTTCCTGAGCCCCAATACCTTCGTCGCCGCCGGTCCCGAGAGGCACTGCGCTGGTCCCGGTTGCGTCGGTCCCGGCTCCGGCTCCTGCGTTTGCGGTCCCGGCTCCGAGAGCGGCTGTGGCTGCGCTTCCGATGACGGTTCTCCTTGTCCCGTTCTGGACAGAGGTGAAAACAATGGGATGGGATGAGCAGAGGAAGGATGCAAGCCCAGCCCACCCTGCACGCTGGTGCTAAGTCCCAAGCCCCAGGGAGGCCACCCCCAAAGGGAAGGGAGATAGCAGGCCTCCTGGGTCCACACACAAGTCCCCAAGGACTCTGAGGGGACCAGGGGGGGGCAGGGCCTGAAAATGCCCCCGGGGTGTAAGATACCTGAGGATGCTCAAGAGGAGCTGAGGAGCCAGAGAAGACAGAGGAGGCTGGCTCCTGGTCCCCCTCGAGGGCTGAGGGGCCTGACCCCAGGGTCGTCCCTGAGAGGGGCAGGGCTAGAGGCTGGGGAATCAAGAGACCCAATGATGATTTCCTGAAGGAACCCAGCAATCCCTCAGGAAAGACCTCCGCAACCAACTGGCACCCACAGCCCCACCATCAGGCCCAGGGGCCAGATGCCAGGCAGGATAGGCTAACCCCAGGAAGGAAGGAAACTCAACTCCATCCCTTCCCAACCAGGTGAATAATGCAGGAGCACCCTCCCCCAGGGGAGGGGCCTCTTTCTGAATGTACAGACTGAAGAGGAAAGAAGCCCCAGCAGGTGGAGAAAAGCCACCTATTCCAGACTGGAAGCCCAAACCACCCAACCCTCCCTGCCTCACACCCTCATAGCCACAAAGGAAGGTCTAGAGTGAGACCTGTGTCCCTGCCAGGACTCAATCTGCTTTCTCAGCTTCATCTGCCTCTGAGGTGGTGGCTAAAACTCAGCACAACCTTGCCAGCAATACCACAGAAAGCTCTGCTCCCAGCAGATCCTTCACCTTCTGAAGGAGGAAGAGGGCCCTTCAAGGTGGAGCAGGAGCACCACCACATACTCTTCCCTTAATTCACAGGCACAGTTGATATCTGCACGACAACCCCTCAAGCACAACAAAAGATGAACACATCAACAAACTCCTAGTTCACACCTATGCCTTGTGAGTGCTGTGTTCTGGGGGCAGCAAGAGGGAAAGGCAATGAGAAGAGCCTGTCAGGTTAGACTTCTGGGCCTTACAACCTGCCCATCTTAGGTATCTTTCATCTAACACGTCTTTCCAATGTGGTTAAACACAAACTCCTTGTAAATTCTTCTCAATTCCAGAACCACCAACGCTCAGGGGAAAAAGGGCACCCAGAAAGATTCCCTTTTGGTAACACTGAGATGCTTCTTACAATCAGAATCCACACTACATAGTTTTTACTCACTCTAACTCCACATTACTGCTTTGAAAACACTGGTGGAGATTTTACATAACAAATAAGGAAACTGAGGCCCAGGGAGATCATGACTTGTTCAACAATTAACAGCTAGGAAATGATGAAACCTGCACCAGGCCATATTCCTTAATGAGCGCCAGGCACCAGTCCTCTCAGAATTTTCTCTTCAGAGGCCAAAACTAAATTTAAGACTGGAATCGGGAGAGGAGAGAGTTGGGGTCAGACCACCCCTGTGGAGTATTAGGGCAAACACAAAGGCACAATACTCAGCACAAGGTACAGTTCTGTGAGGCCCAAGAGCACTTCCTGCTGAAGTTCAGAAACAGACAAAGAAATTCCCTGTACACCTAGGTAGCTGAAGGGCCCTGAAGCTCAGAGATGTTAGGAGGATAACCCACAAAGAAAAGAAGCACCGGCAGGGTAACACGTGCACAGAGTCTCCCCTAGGGCAAGAACTCTTCCCCACACTGATGCTGGACAGCTAAGAACAGAAAAGAAGCTTCTTCGTTTGCTCAAAATGCTGTGCTGTAGGAGGCTGTGGGACCTTGTGGGAGCAGGTCCACCAACCCAGAAGTGCCTAGGTCTCAGGCCCTGGAGTTCCTGCACCAGCAGGGACACCCCAGGAGAACGGATGTAGTCCATTTTCAACAGCCTCCAGCACCCTTTAAAGCAGCTCCACTTGGCAGTCCAAGAGAGTGAAAGAGTGAAATAGCTCTGCATAAAACCGTGCAACACAGTGTTTATAGTACTGAGAATTAACCCTGCCAATGAACTACACCCCCAACCAACAACCTAAAAAACTTCAGACACTTTGTTTTCTCTTAAGTTAAAGTCAAGTATAACACTACCTCAGTGTTACAAGGACTTGGCAGAATATTTGGAAAGCGCATTTCCCAGCCCTTCCCTAACCCTGATACCATGTCTATGTGAAGACATGCCTTTCTACTTCCTTTCTAAGAATGTAGACTTCACAATGATAAACACTACTTATTAAGTGCTTAACATATGACCAGCCACGTGCAGTGCACTTTACACATTACCCCATTTAAACTTAGCTCCTTACCACCTGGAACCCTGGAAAGTTTTTAAGCTTTTGAGCTTCAGTATCCTTTCCACTATAAAAGAAGTAATTATTTTATCCTCGGAAGGCTGTTACAAGCGTTCAGTTAGAGAAACCATGCAAATTGCCTGACACGTGGTAAGCTCTCAGAGTCTAATTCCAACTACCAATATCATTCTCATGAACCCTCTCAAATCTCAATGGCAAAATAGTGATGTCAGTGTACAGATTAAAAAAAGAAAAAACCCAAAGAGCAAAAGTATTCAAATCACATAGATACCAAATAACGAAGAAGGTATTCGGACTCATAAGCAGTACACCACCTAGACAGGACCAGAGTAGGCAGGGCACTCCCTAGGCACCTCTTCGAGCACTGTTTTCACTGCCGCATCAACTCCAGCTTGGGCTCCACGGAGAACTGAGTCACATTCAGTCCTCCAAACTCCAGCTAGGAACACAGCTCAGGCAAGTCGCCAACCTCCCCTACGCCAAGGTCCCTTCACTCACACCAAACCTGGACACATAAGAAACCTGAGGACTATCCAAGGGCTCTGGGCCTTCTTGGAGTCCCTAACTCGAGCTGCGCCAGCATGGCCCGAGCTCGGTGCTGCCAGCCTCTGTGAGGGGCCCGGCACCGGCCTGGCACTTCCCCACGAGCGCCCGCAGGGGCAGCGCCTCGTCGCGCTGCCCAGGGCCTCGGTTCTCTCGTCCGTCCAGAGATCATTTACAAGCCTGAGGGTAGGCGTCCGGGTTTGGGCTCGGACAGGCAGGGGGGGGTCTCGACTGAGGATAAGGGACACAAACGCTCCACAGATCGTGAACTTCGGGCCCCCAGAAAGGCCCCGGACGCGCGGGGTGCACGTGCGAGGCACAAAGAGGGCAGACGCTTCCCGCTTCCGCGAGAAAAGAGGTGTCCCACGTTTTCCGAGGCCCCAGCGCCCCGGGCACGGCGCCCTGACACGGAGTTCCCAAGAAGCCGGGAAGGGACCGGCACGAGAAAGGCCGCGGCCTGCAGAGGGGGCCGTCCACGTGAAGGAGGGAAGGGGGGGCCCCCCGAGTCCCCGCCACCGCCATTTTGGAAACAAAGGGGGCGTGGAGTCACGGCCGAGAGCCTGGCCGGAAGCGGAAGTCCAAAGCAGCGGGTGAAAAAGATGGGATTACAGGATTTAAAATCGTCTCCTACCCAAAGGGAAAAAGCGAACCTTTGCGTCTAAGACCTTGGCGAGCTGGCACCGCGTCCCCCGCGCAACCTCCGCCAGGACCACGTGGGACCAGGACGGCGCAGCGCGCATGCGCCACAAGCCGCGCCCGCGGCCCCTTCCCTTGCCGCGCGCGACGGAACACGGCGGTCACGTGAGCGAGGCGCGCGCCGAAAGCAGGGGGGGGGCCCCACGGCGCGGCCCTGAGGAGGGGGCCGCGAGGGGAAAATGGCGGGGGTCAAGGAGCGAAGCCTGAGACGGTCCCGCCACCGCCCTGCGACCCCGGCACCCTCACCTTGTTTATTCTCGTTGAGCTGCCGCTCGAACTCGTCGAAGTCCGACATGCTGAGGCGGCCGCGTAGGGCCCTGTGCAGCTCTCGCCTCGCCTTGCCGCCCGCCCGCTCTGGCCGCTTCGGCTACTTCCGCCGCTGGCTTCGGC